AGAAAATTTTTTACCCAAATTTGCGAAAAATATACCCAAACTGACAGGTATCTACTTATATTTAACTATCTCTGTGTTCATATCCTGTGCGACATTTATACAAGCCATAAATCACTTCAAAATTGTCTAGTGGTATAATATTTTTACGTCATTTTGTTTAATGTACATTAAATTTAATTTTATTATATTAGATAGGCACATTTTTTTATTATAAGTGTGAGTATTTTGATAAAATTTTTCCTTCATGATTTTAGTAAACTTGTTAGGTAGCCGATTAAGGTATGTTTAAATAGTAATGTTTTGACGTCATATGTTTATTGTACACGTACGTACATTAAATTTCATTTTATTATATTAGATGGGGAGATTGTGGAAAAAGCGAAAGAGGTTTGTTTGAATCGAAGCATTTGGCGTTCCATTGTTTCTGCCTACCCTAATGGGAGACAGGCGTGACAGATATGTATGTATGTATGTATGTATGGGTAGATTTTTTTATTCTAAGTATGAGTATCTTGATGAAAATTTTCCTTTATGATTTTGGTAGGATTGTTAGGTAGCTAAGCTATGTTTAAATACTGACCTTGCTACTATATCATAATTTATTATGCTTACAGTGTATTTATGACGTCTATGTCAACTTAGACGAGGACTGAATTATTCATTACCCGGACTCTTAGTAACACTAAGAGTACTATTGTACGGATTATTTTTATTTACGAGAATCTTTTTGTTGGTAAATAAGAAAAAAGCTTCGCATCATTATTAATCCGTTATTTTATAGCAACCTGTAATTATATTTTCAGATTACGTTTTACATTTAAATGCCGCTACTTATTATAGAAATCATACGAATATCTTGGTATCTGTTCCATCATTGCCCTTGTTTTTTTTTTAACAAAATTTCGATACCAAATTTACATATGAAGACGATCATAATCACTTTTGTTTTGTTTTTTTTTGTCTGTTTCTCAAACAAGTAAAAATGTTTAATTAATAAAAAAATAGTGAGAAGGAGTTATGATATCTTAGTCGGACATAGATTAAACCTCCAAAATTTTCAAATTGAATTATTGAATATTATTTGATTGTTATCATTTGCTTAATGCTCCGGTAAATCTATTACATCAAAGGAATTGATGTATTATTATAACATAAGTGGTCTAGGATTATTTACCATTAGAAGGCACGAACATCACATAAAATTTTAAAGAAATGATGAAAAAAAAAGAAAGTTGAAATAAGTGAGTAGTCAGAAAAAATACATTTAGTAGTTTCAAGTAGTGACTTGACTGACTATGAATAAAAAAGTTACAATATTAAATTTATTAATTTATTTCTTAACACAAACAATTGAGGAACTTACTATCTATAACATGTAGAACATTTTAACAATATTATTTGTAGGAGCTGGTGCCTGTACTAGGTGTTAAACCAGTATTACAAGTTACCAGATATAATATGTATATGTTATATAAAAAAAAATTTACGTCAGGTATAAAAAAATTACCTGGAATTAGTGAGTCGTGGCGCGACTGTCTGTTTCTCCACTTACTTTTTTATAAATCATGTAAGTAATTTTCATACGGGTTTCATTATTATCTAGCTATTTTAGCGGTTTCAAAAAAGAGGTCTAAATTGTGTTGTATTGTTTTATGTTTGTTACTTTATAACTTCGTCAATTGTAAATCTATTTGAAATATTATTCTTTTTATCTGAAAGGATATACTTATAAATTGGTATTATAAAAATTTTATTAAAATGATTTCAGTAGTTTAGTTTTTTTAACAAAATAATTAGTTTTGCTGCAATTGAAATGTTTTGTAATAAATTGCACTAGTGCCAAGTTGGAGCTGGTCATTAATAAGACTATAATTAAAAGAAATGTATACAAATTTCGTTGCCTGCAATTATTGTAATAGTTAACAAAGCTTATCTGCGTTATTATCGCTAAATACAATCAGGCGTGTTCGCGTGCATAAAATAGAGCGTGTCAGAATTGCCGCAGAAAAGTCTCCCTGTGTTGAGGTTTACTGCATATATATATATATATATATGCAGGTATATAGGTGCCCACTAGGTAAACATGTACTTGTTACTTTACTATCCTACTTTTTTATGCAGCTTAGAATGGCAAACAAGCTGACGGCCCATTTGATGGAAAATTGTATTGTAACCGCCGCTTATGATAATGAGCACTTCCATGGACATAAAAGAATATACTGTTTCGCCCATGATACTCTCCATGCGTTGCCATTCCTGAGGACTAAGTTGTTATTCCTCTGTACCCTGTAATTTTACTGCCACTACTTAATATTATAAATGTGATTTAAATAGAGATTAGAAAAGTTTGTAAAGATATTTGTGGTACAATCACGCTTAAATAGCTAAACGAATTTCAATGAAATTTTATATATGGGTAGGTTATACCCTAATTTAACACATATGTAATTAAATAGAAAAGTCCCGACAAACAGTAATATTATAAATACGAAAGTGAGTTCATTTCTGGCTACATAACGCCTTAACAAATCATTATGGTTAAATTTGGTACATACTTTTCTCGAACCATAATCAAGACTTTCCAGTCTAATAAGTCAGTGTTTTAATAAACAACAAACATTAGTTTTGTCAATCACATATATAAAATATACGCTAGCTATATGTATAATAGAGGGATTGGCGGCGAGAAATGAAAACTTCTATCAAGATATATTAAAATAAAACAGACCATCCCTTAACTAATTGCCTTGATATTAAAGAAGCTATTTTTATAATAAGTGCCTAATAAATAACAACCAGCTGGAAAAGTAAGCTGGTAGTATGGAGCGCAGGTGATATAAGTTAATCGCGCACTCTACAAGGACCCAACTTAATAGACTAAACTTTCGAGCATTTTATTGGTATAAAAGCAAACTGTATAGATAGCGAGTCTCATTTATGTACCCTTCTGAAGATTCTGCACCATCATTTGCAACACTGAAGATAAAAAAATAAATGTAAGTACATACTGTAGCCCCTATAGTATTCCCCAGGCGTTTTCACTGAGATGATAATATGAGAGCATCATATTATTTCACTGGCTACCGTAGACCTAAATACAACCACACACTCAACAAAAATAGATACCACAGATCACTTAGAAGAGTAAAATAGATCTTGAACTAAACCCAACAATAAAATTTTCCCAAAGATATTTCCGTGTTTTAGTTTTAGTAGCAATATTTGGAGAAGCGATTATTTATTTAACTACTTAATTATGCATGAAGAGCTTAACTGTTTGCGTTAAATGAGGCATACGGATAGGTAAATTATATTCCGTATTACTTCATCTTTATCTCCAATAATGTCAAATCCCCTGACCAGCGTTGGTATTCTAATATTTTTGAGACACCCGTGTTGTTATAAGCTATAATGAAGGCGTTTTCGTGCTTTAACAAAATCCAAGCAGAGGTAGTCACGAAGCGTCGTTATTTCGCTAGTAACATAATTATTGATGTTCATAAATATTCATAGTTAAGTTTTATAACTAGATATGTAACATTATATAGACATGCGACGGTACGATATATGCATACCATTAGCCGATCGAAAGACATAAAAAAGTACTTACTCACCTAAATGGTATGTTATAGGATTGTGAAGTATATTTACTAATCAAATGCTAAACACTAGCAGTGAAAATGGTCTTAATCAGATTGCAATAGAATTTATTTTAAAATAATGACTTTATATACGTATATATTATAAACTGTAGGTACAAAGTGGCTGCGTATAATAAAATAAAATGTATTTATTCATTGTGTTTGTTTAGGACATACTAGGTAAGGTCTGTTAAAATAGCCTTCCTAAACATTAGAATTAACATTCAAAATAAAGACATTAAATAAAATAACATGTATCTGTTTACTCAAAGTATTCTCTTGGATAAATTATGAAAGCTTTGGACATCTAAACTAACGTCATAAAAGGGAATATTTGATTTTTTTTGTAGCGAAAACGATATATTTAACAGCGATATATTTACCTATGTATATATATCAAGTAATGTTATTTTCTATTTTAGTAGTTGAATAAAAACAAAAAAAAATTGGGAGGCGAGCGATTCTTATTATAAAGAGTCTCAATGTCTGACAAGCTTAATAAGTATTGTTCATGATTACATATACGACTATATGTAGTTACAGTCATCACAATGTTTTTGAAATTCTTTATTACAAATATAAGGATATCTATTTTTTTTTTATAAAAAATGTATATTTGTTTTAGTAGGCATAATTTTCTTTTATTTTTAATCATTTTGTAAAATATATTGGCCCATCGTCGTAACGTACCTTGTTCTGATTTTACAAATAAGATTTCGCTTACTTTGCTTGCTCTCAGAAAGTGATGAATTAGTGAAAATCAAAAATTTACAAAGATGTTCAGGAATTTCTGATTTAGAATCAGCTAATATAGATTAAATAAGATCAATAATCTATTTAGGTGAAACTGGTGTATAAATTTTTCTCTTTATAGCAAATTTATACGACACTCGTAACAATATATTTTGCACACCATCAATAGCATCACAGATTTGACAATGGGTTTAATAAATATAAAAAATTTGTGCGACTATGAATTAATTAATTTTGTAAATGTTCAATGTTTGGTAACGGCACAGATAATATAATACTATACTAGTATAAAGGGCAAAACCTTTGCCACGCCAGTTAGTAACAATATATATTTAATTTTTATTTAATAAATAAATATGTAGGTCGAAAATGATTACACATCTGTTGAAATATAATAGTTACTCCTGCAATGAGTTCATAAACCTTTTTGCATTTTCGTCGTGGAAGTTTGGTTCGCATTCAAGTATTATTATGAAGCTTGGTTTTCAACGAGATATAAAGGCTAAAAGCTGTCCCGTAAGTACCGATTGAATAGCTCCAGTGTTGAGAGCTAGCCGTCGGGACGGGCTGAAGCTGAACACATTTTCAGTTATTCGCGAACTGCGCCCGTGAGAGCATGTTCATGGTCGTGCTACGTAACTACCATTGAGTCGTACGAAACTTCGTAACTTTGTTTACTAAATGTGAAATATTTAATTTATTGGATTTAACTGGTTAACAATAATTTGTGATCGTATATCAATATATTTATATGTTATTTTTCTATATATTAGATATTATTTTAAAGTATTGTGATCGAACATTATAGATGTAATAGCAATCGCATGTAGGTACATTGATTATATATTATTTTAGTTTTATGGGATATTCCTTTTGTGGAATGAGATATACATTTAATAAGTGAAAATAATAAGTAAACAAATCATAATTTTTATCAATAAAACGGTAATAGATGCTGATGATGTTAAAAATGAATGACCTAATGCATGTTAGTTCAATGTAAAATATTAATAATTAATAGCAAGGACGAATTTAAATAACAGAAATGTTTGTCTAGACCTTAACCTATATAGCTTAGCCAGGCTTCCTACCTACTTATGTAACTATGCGGCAATGCAGATTGATTTTTCGTGTCTTGTTTAAACTGTCACAATTAAGTCAATTTGGTATGTATATTCAACAATCAATCTTCCTTGTGAATGTGCTTATGTGATTTTTCATCAGCAATCTTCACACACTGTTAACTCTTATTGAATTTAATATTAATTATATAATTTAATAGCAAATAAAAGTTTTAATGACACGTAATACACTCTTGTTAAAAATATAGTATTTATTTTTATAACTAGTTGTGTCCCGCGATTTCACTCACGTGAATAAGTACATAAAGTATTCTGTGCGCTATATTAGGACATAATCTACCCGTGTACTAAATTTCGTTTAAATCCGTTTAGTAGTTTTTGCGTGAAAGAGAAACAAACATCCATCTATTCATTCATCTGTCATTATAAATATTCGCATTTTCATTTTAATAGTAACACTCTGAAGAACACCCTTAGATGAAATTGAAATCGGTAGAAAAGAAACATACCTAGTATCACCCTCAAATTTCCTTTGTCTAGTTATATAGGTAATAAAAATAAACATGTTTTAAAATTAGAATGATCCCCCGTGTTAGGTTGCCTGTTATCTATCGAAGTTAGAGATTTTTTTTTAAAACTGTTAGCAATTTCCTACATACAATTTTGTTGATCTACCACAACTATATTTGGTATTAACGAACTGTATTCCGTGGATTTAATTTACGATTTGTGGTTTATATGTGTAATAAATTTCATTCAACCCATCCAGCTATGTGAGATTGCGTAACGAACATCCATTTATATATTAGTTGGGTAAGTTACTGTTGGGAGCGGTCATTCTACCATGAAGCAGTTGTGTTTGTATGGCTGTGTTTCGCTTTGAAGGGTGGGATATGGCACTGAATTTACAGGCTACAGAGGAATAACACCTGGGGCCTCAGGAATGGCAACGCATGGGTATATCGTGTGTGAAACAGTATATTCTGTTGTCCTTGGTACTGCTCATGTCTATAGGCGATGGTTACCACTTTCCATCAGATGGGTCTTCAGCTTGTTTGTCATTCTAAGTTGCATAAAAAAATACTAAAGCTTACTAAAGTGTGGTAACAACAAAATTATCTGTTAGTTTTCAATATAAATTTTCAGTTATAACTGATTGATTATTTAAAAATTCTTAAACCTTTAATATGTTTTTTACAGTAACTGATAAATTATCTTCCGGTATCGAATATACCATTAAGTCAAATATTTCATATTCAACTAAATCAGTTCCTTTATCTGGGATTATAGTCGTCATCTCAACTAATATTATGAATGTTCAAGTTCGTGTTTGTTTGTCACCCTTTGACACTTTAACGACCTAATAAATAGTCGGAAAATACATACTATACTATACAGGCTACATTTTATCCCGGTCAATCAATTTGTTCCGCTTACGTAGATAATATTGAGGACGCAGTGTTGCGTTACATTTTATAGTAAATACTGTAGAAGAAAATTTAGGAAGTTTACGTGTGTATAAAAATATAAGTATTAAATGCATATTTCTTCCTGAAAACTATTCATGTAAAGTAGGCAGATACTTTGCGTGAAATATTAATAAAATTTCAAGAGTTGCTATGGGCTTTATATGGGGTTGTATTTCATTCTTCTATTGCATAATGTATTATACTTTTTTTCTTACATTATTTTGTGGGGAGAATGGAGTAATAAAACGTTGACACACACACAATTCTTTCTGTGCTTACACACAGGGAGAATTTAATATAAAATTGAAATGAGTGATACGTAGTAGTATAAGATTTTTGTCTGCTCAAATTCTTCAGTGTGTTTAATTGTTTAGGCTTGTTAGGGCTAGCACCTAATTTATTTTTAACAGTATAAAAGTAAAAATATATAGGTGTAGTTATATATGGCTTATTTTGTCAATTAAGATCAATTTATTTGATACTAATGACCCACCCCGGCATCAAACAGATAAAAAGACTTTTTGAAAATCACTACATACTCGTAGTATAAAACAAAGTCGCTGTTGCTGTCTGTCCGTCCCTATGTATGCTTAAATCTTTAAAACTACGCAACGGATTTTGAAGCGGTTTTTTTTAATAGAGTAATTCAAGAGGAAGGTTTATATATATAATAAATTCATAATATTGTAGAGAAACACTGATAATTTTAGAGGTTTCTAATGTGATGTGATGGAATGTGCAACTCGTGCAAAGCAGGGGCGGGTAGCTAGTAATATATAATCTATGTTACTCGCTGGTAATGTTCCTTTCTCTAGGTGAGAATTTTTTTAAAATTAGTTGGATAGTTATTAAGTTCATCCATTGAAATAAATAATTAAATCTTTCCTTTTTATAATATTAGTATAGATATAAAAATTTACTAGTAGATGTATGAGTATCAATTTCTACATACTGCATATATATTGTATCCATACATACGAAACAAGAATACTTGTAGGTATATTTATTTCTGTTTTTTTGGAAAGGAAAAGCAACCTTGTTTACGCTATCGGTATGGGTATGTTGGCGGGGCACCAGTGAGGGATAATAGTTGAGGATAAAAACTGGTCTATTTTCCAGAGTTCCCACGGGAACGGAATGTAACGAATTACGTAAAGGCGAAGCAGCGATAAACAGATGGAAATACTAAAAAGAAAATACTTGTTTTGGTTGAATGACACATACATCAAAGAAAAACTATAGTTATTAAAAATTTACAGTTTTAAATATAGCAGATACGTTTTTATTGATTATCTACCTGTTAAAAAAGAATGTCTTAAATAAAAGGTACTAAATAAGTTAACGCAGGCGAAGTCACGTCAAATTACTTATTGTTAAATTTCATGGTATTATAGTTTGTCTCTGACAATTTATTAATAACGAAAATAAAAAAAGTTTTTCCTAACGGTCACAAGCAAATAAAATAAAAATGTACTAAAAATACTTAACGTGACATTGCAAGATGTCGAGTATACTGTTACAAATAGTAGAGTAAATATAGGAAATATTGAATTACACTATACTTAGAAATGGGAAGTCTTTTTTTACATTAAAGTATATTTTGTTACGTATACATATATTTATAAACTATTTATTATAAGTCGTGTTAGTGCAACATGCAAAAAATTGGCATATTTTTTTTACATATTTATAATTTCTGTAGACATCAACTCACACACACATATATAGGTATATAAATTATAAATATGTAAAAGTAAATTTTTGCATATATTTATAAAAATCCAGACAATTTAAATAAAACCTGATTTTTGACGGTACACATAAACACATACGAGCTATTTTTAGTTAATTAATAAGAACTTCATATTGCGACTTAATCTCAAATTGTAAAATAGTATTCTGTCACGTGTTCGTAATATAAATCATACTAAAACAGTATCCAGTAGAAAGCTTACTAAGCCTCTTTAAAAATGCTACTTCTAAAATACTAATTCTACTATTATTTATCTCTATATATGCTAGTATAACAGATCTTTTAGTAAAATACATAAAGTATTTTAAACCTATTTGCTGCTACGTGTCACGTACTATTTTTTTTAAGTAAATTTAAATTACCATGAATAGATATTATCTATTGGTTGTTTGTTTGTTTAAAATTATAATATGTACTTGTTGTTACATTAAGAGGAAGTCAGAATAAAGTAAAAAGTAATATCTAACTACAGAAAGTTAAACATATTATTTTACAGTCAATTAATACGTCCACCCACATTTACTATTACACTAAACAAATTCTATATATACCTAATGGAAATAGTATATTTTCGTGTGCGTACAAGTATTTTGTATTTCAATGCAAAGTGCTTTAAGCGATAAAATCGACAGTGTTTATTTTTCTTTTCAACACCTCCTTTATTTTATTTTAAAGTTGTAGGTATTAAATCAGGGTTAATGTTGTTAATATTCAAAAATAATATAGTTAATACTCATTTGAATTAGAGCAATTTACGATTATATTTGAGTTAATGTTGTCTATAAGATGTTATTCTATACGTTATGAGATCAAGTATAATCCCATATGAAATACAAAAAGTATAAGTAAGATAATTTCGAATACAGTCTTACAAATCAGTCTGACTGAATAAATATAAAAGAAATTTGAATGTGGGATTCATCATCATCATCATTTCAGCCATAATCCGTCCACTGCTAGACATAAGCCTCTCCCATAGATTGCTATAAAGAACGGTCTTGAGCCACCTGCATCCACTGGCTTCCTGCAGTGCATTTCAGGTCGTCACTCCATTTAGTGGCGGGTCGTCCTACACTGCGTTCACCCATACGCGGTCGCCACTCAAGAACCTTTCTTTCCTATCGGTTGTCGGTTCTTTAAGCAATGTGACCAGTCCATTGCCACTTTACCTTGCTTATCCTTCGGTCTATGTCGGTTATTTTGGTTCTTTTGCGGATATCCTCGTTTCGGATTCTATCACGCAAAGAGACTCCGAGCATAGCCCTTTTCCATAGAATGTGAGATTGGTTTGCACGCCTATAACATCAGAAATGCCATACGTGCGTTGCCATTGTATAATACCGATACAAAAGAACGATACGATAATAAAGAACTTAACGAAAGAAAACATACGAGTTAAGGTAATAGTGCATTAAAATCATACAGTCATGTGTAGTGTGTGTGCGTGTAAGTAATGGAACATTAACGGTTTATTATGCATAGTGAATTATTTCCTATTCAGGGTAGTCTTACATTTAAATTT